CTTCTTGAGTATAAATATGATTCTCTTGATCCTGTAAGTTGCCTCTGATTTAACACAACTCTAACTGTCTGGTCATGTAGAGTAAATGCAGTTTGAAATTGTGATGACCATAAAAAAGTAAAATCTACTTTAGCATAATATTTTTTGAAAATTATTTTTACTTCACCAGTAAAAAGTGTATTATTAAATTAGGTAGGTAATATATATTAATTTTGGCCCAAACAAGCATACCCTATAAGTGCTAAAGAAAAATAAAATACTTCAGTTTTCTTTTTTTTTAAATTACCATATACATCCAGAACTTATAAAAATAAATAGTTGTTTAATATGAAAAGGTTTTGTTGGATCCAACATGTAGGCCTATCCTTGTGTTATGGATAAAAATGTTATGAATAACTTTCGCTGGCTCCGCCTAAATTTTATGCCGTCATCAATATGGTTGGTACTAATGACTGCAGTGAGAGGTTCAAGAAAACACAAACACAACATCAGCTCACTGACTTTAATGGTTGATACTGTTGGTCTTGTCTAAACCAAGAAAAAAACATGGTCATCAATAATGTCAAGTCTTAGGGCCCAGCCCCTACCATACTTTACAAAACAAAACACGACTACACCCTCACAAGGCAAACGTTCAACTGTCCTGTAACCCTCATAGTTCCTAGCTTCTTAGTTTTCCCCCACTAAGCCTAACCTAATGTACATGTCGCCACAGTTCTGTCGTACCTAATTAAAATGTCAGACATTTCTGATAACTTTCTAGGTTTTCACCCCAATCTGTGGCCATACTGTTTGCACCAAGGTTACACAGGTCAACATGGCTGTCATCCGTAATTACAATCTAAAAGCTTGCATCTAGTGAGTGGACGTTCAGTCGGACACACTAAGGGCTATTCCTATTACACCTATTATGATCTATCTAACCTAGAGATAAACAATATAATAGTTTGGACACCGATAATATTAAGAATTAAACGGTATTCTATCCTAGTCCTCTATAGTCTTTCCTATGCTAATCAAAATCATAACACCTTGGATCCAACATGCACGCTGTTGTAGGCCAATTTCTGTCAAATCTGATCACTGTTGGAGAAGGCTGTAAATTACGTTTTCAGAACAGTGAGATGGTTAGTTTTTAACTTCTTCTTGATTTGTGTCTTCTCTGTATGTAGTTGTTTAATCCCAAAAAAATAGAACATAAATACATTTTATATACTTACTATGTTTAAATACTTTCAACTAATGGTATAAATAAAAATAGTTAACTTTTTTTTAATAAAAATAAGAAAGCAATGGTAGGAAGGAAAGCCACCCCTCTGTAAATATATATATATATATATATATATATATATATATATATATATAGGTCCTCGGTGTTTTGACCACAGGTGCTTTGACCATAAGGGGTTACACGGGTCTAAATTATAGAAGTAGACTCTATTTTTAATTTATTTGATCTACAAATGCGACCAGTGTTTCTTTTTAACTTTTTCCTCCCCGGATTGGGGGGGGGGAGGGGGTACTTGAATTTTTCGGGGGTGGGGGTGGACACAATTTTTGCGAGGGGGCGGACACTGGTAAAAGTATAAAATTATATTTTGTTGAATGATACTATCTGCCATCCGGTGTTAGAGCCTTGTCGTGTGGGGTTTTTGTCCAGGGGGTTTATATATGCGGTTTTGTTTTGTCCAGCGGGTTTATGTCGGGGGTTTTTGTCCAGGGGGCTTTAGTCCAGGAGTTTTTTGACCGGTCACCATCCTGACCACCCTCCGAGCTATACCAGTGGTAGTGTAAACTCCTAGTAGGTTCAACCAAGCTGGGAAGATCTGCGCGGGTAGGGATCAGACCAAAGCTAACACCCTGGTCCTCCAGGTTGGGGGTTGTAACATAGGACTAGCAACCTTATCTCGTAAAATAAAATATACCGCTACAGAAACTGCAAGTACACAAATCTAACACCAACTTGGTCGAGGAGGTTCCTCTCTAGAAGAGCCCATGATGCCTACTAGTGAAAGCCTAACGGAAGCTAGTTTGCAGACAAATCTCCTAACGCCCAAGACTAAAACCAGATTAGGGACCTAATACATCAGAACCCTATATAAAAGCAGCAGATCAGCTCGGGTCGCCAAAGAAATGAGAAAGTATAAATTAAAAGTCCTAGGATTAAGTGAGACACGATGGAATGGCAGTGGCCAAACTAGGTTGGTCTCGGGAGAGACTGTCATCTACTCAGGCCACGAGGACGAAGATCATGAACACACACACAAGGTGTAGCCATAATGATGTCTCCAGAAGCAACAAATGCTTTGATTGCATGAGAACCAGTCTCGCCACGACTCAAAGCAGCTCGTTTCAATGCCAAGGGAAGGAAAACAACTTTAATCCAGTGCTAAGCACCCACAAATGCTGCAACAGATGAAGAGAAAGACGACTTTTACAGCACCCTGCAAGCTCAAATTGACAAAAAGAGATATAAAGATAATGATTGGAGACATGAATACCAAAGTTGGAACAGAAAATAAAGATCGTGAGCTCACAATGGGGAAAAATGGAATAGGCATAATAAATGAAAACGGGGAACTCTTTGCTGATTTCTGCGCAATTAACGATCTAATTATAGGGGGACAATGTTCTCTCATAAAGATATACATAAGACCACCTGGACGTTACCCGATGGCAAAAAAAAGAACCAAAATGATCACATCACAGTTTCCAGAAAGTGGAGAAGAAGTTTAATGGATGTTAGGGCGAAACGAGGTGCAGATGCAGCCTCAGACAACCAACTCGTGGTTGCAGCACTAAAATCAAAACTAAAATCCTACAGGGATCGAGCTGATAAACCGCACTTTAAATTCAATACAACATATCTTAGAAGTCCAAAAATAAAGGAATACTTTAACTGCGCAGTAAAAAAAAAATAGGTATGAAGCACTCTCCAGCCTGGCAGAAGAAACAATAGAGCAAAAATGACTAGGAATACAGGAACTATGGAAGTCAACATGCACTGACATATTGGGAAGAAGAAAAAATGAACAAAAAGAATGCATCACAAGAGAGACATGGACCAAAATTGAAGATAGAAAAGAAATAAAGCAAAAGATGAACAAATGTAAGGATGAAAAAGAGAAAATAAACATCAGAACATATTATTGTGAAGTAAATCGCATGGTCAGTAAAAGTGCAAAAGAAGACAAAAGACAGTTCATACAAGAGATGATAGCGGAGGCAGAGACTGCAGCACGACAAGGAAAAATGAAGAGGCTCTATGAAGTAACCAGGACCCTATCAGGCAAAAATGTTAATCCCAACAAACCAGTAAAGGATAAAGTAGGAAATATCTTAACAAGTGACACAGAACACAGAGACAGATGGGTACAGCACTTTGATGAGATTTTAAACCATCCTCTCTCATCAAACATCCCTGATATACCACCTTCAAACCACCTACTAAATGTGTGTACAGATCCACCCACAAAGTTAGAAACAATAAGAGCAATAAAGAGCATGAAAAATGGCAAAACAGCTGGCCCGGACGGCATCCCACAAGAGGCATTAAAGCAGACCCAGCCATATCAGCAGAATACTACATCCTCTACTTAAGCAGATTTGAGAAGAAGAGATAATCCCATCTGACTGATGTTTTGGACAAAAAGCTGAGACAAGAACAAGCTGGTTTTCGCCAAGACGGGTCATGTACTGACCACAATGCCACGCCTCGCATCATTATTGAACAGTCCCTTGAGTGGCAATCCCCCTTATACATGACTTTTTCGACTTCGAAAAGACGTTTGACAGTGTGAATAGAGATGCTATCTGGAAGTTAATGAGCCACTATGGAATACCCAAAAAATGTATATCTATCACACAGAAACTATATGCAGACTCCACCAGTCAGGTGATACACAGGGGAAAACTAACAAAACCATTCACGGTGACGACGGGAGTAAGACAGGGATGTATGCTATCGCCAGTGATATTCTTGATGGTAATTGACTGAATCATGCTGAAAACCACAAAAAACGACACAGGAATCCAGTGGAGTTTCACCAAAAGGCTGGAAGATCTTGATTTTGCCGATGACATCTGCCTACTATCTCACAAGCATCAACATACGCAAGCCAAACTAAGTCGGCTATCTGAAGAAGCCTCCAAAGTTGGACTAAAAATCAATAAAAATAAAACAGAGGTCATCAAAATCAATAACAGCCAGGACCTGCCCATACAGCTAAATGGAGAAGATTTACGGGAAACAAGCACATTCACATATGAAGAGTTGATTTTCAAAATGCAATATATCCAAAATTTGGGTTTCGAGAAAATCGCACTTTTCTCCTACACGAAGCCATTGAACAATTTGCTAAAACTGTTTATCAATTTAGGTTCATAACCCTCATATAAATAGGACTAGAATGGTTTTTGAAATGTACCTGCATAAAAAGATGCTTTTTTTTTGGTCCCAAAATTTTCGTTTAGTTGCAAAATGAGGTATATCCAGCTTTTGTTAAGCTACAAAACGCAGTATATCCATTTTTTTTCTGATAATACATCTAATGTCCAATATTTCAGTTTATTATTTTATTAAAACCCATTTATATTCCCAGTGTTACCATCTTACTACAATTGTACCATGTTTTTCTGTTACTGTAAAGTGTTTTTATTGAGTAATTTCAGTTATTTGAACCATTTTCAAAATGATGCAAGTCTCTAACGAGAGACTTTAATTTGAAGAGTACAGCTTGTCTTTTCTACTGTTGAACTGTGTTAACAAAGTCTAAAGAACTAAAAAAGTCAACATAAAATAGTTTTAAAAGAAGATAAAAGTTTATTAGTTTATACTACAATCATAAAATGTAAAAGAAATAGTATGAAATGAAAAAAAAAAGGTTGAAAACAAAAATGAGTGAAGCAAGAAAAAATAAATAATTCAGACAAACTAGGCACTATCTACATCAGAGTTAGAATGAGCAACATCCTCAGTAGCATCACATAGCTGTGCCTCATAAGAAATCTTTATTCTCTCCTCCACTCCTACGGCTTCGAGAACACAAAGAACATCTGTCTTTTTAGCCACCTTTATACAGTTCTTTTTTCCAGGCTCCTTTGTGTTGAATGAATCCCAGTTTTTCCCTAAAAAAGTGGATATATTAACCATGTATTATTAAGATAATTCCACTGTAACATTGAAAAAAGAGAATTTCCATAATCGGATAAACCTCTGGACAATAGTCAAGTTTTTTATTGACAGTAACTGCAGTACGAGCAAATCCAATATAGCAAACTGAAGGTAAAGCTATTTACGTACGCAATGCTGAACAAAAGAAGACTGGCAAACTTGCAGCTTGTTTCCATCACTACAAAGAAAAGATTTGATCGTCATGTGTCTTGTTTTTTTCCTCTGATCATTCACTCTTTTCGTGGTGTCCGCATCAAGCAAAGCTACTATAGCAGCATCTTGTGACACTTTGTTCAATTTGCTGTAAAACTCTGCATGGCATTTCACCAGGTCATCAGGTGTTATATCTTGAGCCTGAAATAAATAATACAAATGTATGTTTTGCTACAATGGAAGATTTAATTTTATATTAAAAATTATAGGCCTACTACTAGTTAGATCTAGTAGCTAAGGCTAGCCCCTTGCCTTACTTAAAGTTATTGCTAGACTAGACAAACGAGGACATACAACCTAGATGATAAATCGAAGTTTAGATATAATATTGACTAGAATTGTTAAAACTTTCGTCTAGCTAGAAAAAATAGTAGGCCTAGATACTAGATCTAGAATATGTAGTCACTAGTAGAGTAGATAATCTAGACTAGAATTAGATCTAGAATCTCTCCCTACTTTTGGAATGTTAAGCTAGAGCTGACAGTAGCCTAGACCTACTGGTATTCATACATTTACATTCAAAACTTCACTCAACAAATAAAAGAACAAGCTAGATATCTAAATTCTAGTAATAGTACTATCGTGTTTAAAAAAAAGTTAACTCAGGCCTGCCTAGCCTTGTACTTGTGTTAGATAAGTTAGTTTTATCTACAACTTACCTTGCAGAATCCTTTAATATGATTACACGAAATGGACGGGATCTTTCCTCCTCCTGAATGACAAAAGATCTTTTCTTTTTCTCTTTCTGTGCATGACCTCTTCTTTTTTCTGGACTTAAATGTCAGTACAACACTTTCGTCGTGACCATCAACGTCCGCCATTTTAACAATTGTTTCACTTAGAGATGCTTAATGCGCATGCGCAGATAAATACTAATATTTACACGGATTGGTCCGAATCGATACCGCATTTTGACGCTAAATAAAATCGACAATGCCGCGTTTTGAAACCAAACGTTTTTTTTTCAAAAATAGAAATAAAATGAAAATTTTGCGCCGTGAAAATTAAAATTAAGTTTTCCTAATAGTAACTGAGTAGCTTTACAATATGGGCACCTTATCTCATTTTTTTCAAAAATGGCGCTTATCGCGTTTTGAAAATCAACTCTTCATATCTGGGAAGTGTGATCAACAAGGACGGGGGGGGGGGGGGGGAGGCAGACAAGGATCCACCCACAAATCCACCCATCCACCCACATGTGTCCTAAATGTGTGAAGTAGTGGATTTTAGCGAATGAGATGGAAACTTTTACATCCTAAACGTTAAGCTGGTTTTTAGAGGGTTCGTGTTATATATTCAGGCAGAGTTTAACTTATGAATAAATTTGACCGTCTTGTCAACAAATCGGTTCCCATTTCCCCTTCTGACTTATGGAATTAGCCAGGGGTAAAGAAACAGGAGGGTGATTAACAGGATAGGCAGCCATGATAGCGAGAGGTTGGGGGAGGGGATCTTTCCACATTGCAATATAACTATCTTATTAAATTAAAAATTACTATTTATTTTAATTTTAATCTTTAAGTGGAGGGAAATCACTATGAAGTTAAAAGTGATGTGTATATATATTTTCGCTTTATGTCCCTTTAATAAAAATGGCGTATATATATATATATATATATATATATATATATATATATATATATATATATATATATATATATATATATATATATATATATATATACATATATATATATATGTATATATATATATATATATATATATATATATATATATATATATATATATATATATATATATATATATATATATATATATATATATATATATATATATATATATATATATATGTATGTATATATATGTATATATATATATATATATATATATATATATATATATATATATATATATATATATATATGTATATATATGTATATATATATATATATATATATATATATATATATATATATATATATATATATATATATATATATATATATATATATATATATGTATATATATGTATATATATATATATATATATTTATATATATATATATATATATATATATATATATATATATATATATATATATATATATATATATATATATATATATATGCAATTTATTGTTCATATACCTATTAACGTTTTATAAACGTGTATTCATGTACGTGAATGTGTAAGTGTATTTATATCTAAATATTTAAACATGTGTTTAGTGTTAAAAAAACGTATTGCTTTAGTGGCCCCAGCTGATAATTGTAGAATAAGCGACCTGTTGTGTGCTATGAGTGTGTCCATTAATTTTTAAGATACCGCTTCACATATAAATCTATATCCATTTCTAAAAATAACTACTCAATCAATCACGCGTTGCTTGACTGAACAAATATTGATTCGCTGCGCCAAAAAGAAATCCGACTTTTTATTTAGGGTTGTTCGTTGAATCTTTGTCTTAAGAGTATAGCATTGTCAAACTATTACCGGCGTCTGCTTAATACTGTTATTCAAATAGGGCGAACTTACAAATATTATTCTTGTACTTGACTCACTTACGTTTAACCTTTAGAAGCACAACGTAGCTGCATTTGGCTTAAGGATAGAAGCAGGGGCGTAGCGAGGGGGGCGGGGGGTGCGGACCGCACCGGGTGACACCATTTAGGGTGTGACACCAAGGCAAAAAATAGCAAAATATATAGAGAAAAACTTGATGCGGGGGTGCAAATAGAAAGTTTGAGGGGGGGTGCAAATCGAAAACTTGAGGGGGGTGCAAATCGAAAGTTTGAGGGGGGGGGGGGGGTGGTGCAAATCGAAAACTTGAAAGTTTGTCCCCGGGAAGGGTCGCTACGCCTCTGGGGGGTGAGACCATTAAGTGCCGCACCGGGTGACACCCGACCTCACTACACCACTGGATAAAAGTATTAGGTTGTTTTTACGTTAAAGTTATCAACCTGGTTCCAATATATCCACTTTAACCCTAAATTTAACAGAACTAATACTTAACCTAACAAATATGAACTTAAATGTTCGCTTAATTGTGTCCTTTTTTACTCTTCAATATTCGTTATTTTTCGCCAGGCTCTCCTAACTTTCTTTAGTTTTGTATGGGGGCTGTTAAAATAGACCTGTCCAAGGAGGTTTGTTTTCTTCTCTTTCAGAATGGTTGGGAATAGTTAGGTAAATGTCATTCATATATCCGATGTACAATCAGTTGCAACTTTTTCAGGTGTTTATTTTCCATTGACTGTTAATCCTGCTAAACCGGTTACTCGTATCTCAAATTTTGCTCAAAGCAAATTTTAGCTCATTCTAGAACTCGGATATAAAAAATCTTGTATGTCGGGGCATGTTTATGTCGAGGTACAATTCTACTGCCATTTTAATCATTGTTAATAAATAAGCTAATGAATAATTTATGTAAAATTGTTACAATTAAAAATATAAAGTACTAATTCAGGAAACATGTAATTCTAAATTGAAATTAGTGTGAAAATTGTGAGTATTGAAAATAAATGTATGCTACAATGTGTTGATGAACTAAAATCTTTGAAGAACGCAGAAACCCTGATGTTAGTTTTTCTAGCTGATTGAATGACACGCCCAATGTTCATTACTTAACAAAATATAAAGAATTCATACAAACAACATAAATACAACAAAATATATGTTTATTTGCATTACTAAATTAAAATAGTTGTAAAAACATATGTATACAAGTCATGTTATAACTTATTCCTATCTTGCTCACACTTTTAAAATATTATTTTCTATGGTAGTATATATCACATACTTCATTATTTGAAATTCCCTTATAAGGATTGGCTGATATGTCTCAGGTCATTATTATCTTTAGTCATTTCTATGTTTGCCTTTTCATCTTCAATCTGTCTTGATAAGAAATCAGCTAGTGTATTGTGCTGTCCCTTTATTGTTTTTATCTCAAACTTGAAATCTAATAAAATCAGGGCCAATCCATTTATTTTACTATTTATTATCATTTTCTTATTGATTATGATTAATGGCTTATGATCTATTCTAAGCGTAAAGTGTCTTCCTAATAAATATTTCTGTAATTTATTCAATGCCCACACAATTGCTAGGCACTCTCTCTTTCTCAATCACTGCATATCTTTGTTCTGTTAATGATAATGCTCTCCTGAGATATTGTACTGGGTATAGTTTATTACCCTTTTCTTGCATTAAGCAAGGTCCTAACGCTAGGTTTGATGCATCAGTAAAAAGAGTGAAATGATTACTAAAATATGTTGACATCAGTACCTTGTCACTCATGAATTCAGCCTTTATTTTATTAAAAGCACTTTCACATTCCTGTGTCCATACTAGATTAACTTTGTCTTTGGATAACAATTCTCTTAAAGGAGTAGTAAGTTCAACATATTTATTTACAAAAATATTATAAAAATTGCATAGTCCTAACAATGATTTCACCTCTTGCTTTGTACTAGGAGTTTTGATATTTAATATTTTGTCCCTATTTCCTTCAGTAGGTCTAATTTCTTTATTCCCAACCTTAAATCCTAAGAATTCTACTGTATCTACTTCCATATGTAGTTTCTCTGGTGCTATTGTAACCCCATGTTTCCTAAGTTTTTCTAGTAGTTCTTTTAGTGTTTCTATGTGTTCTGACCATGTGTTATTATGTATGCATATATCATCAACAAATAAGACCAGGTTTTTCATTCCCTCTGTCATTTTACTCATGAATTTTTGGAACGTGGCGGTACTGTTCACAAGACCGAACGGCATCACCTTCCATTGACATAGACCTTTGCTTGATGTAAAGGCGGTGTATTGTCTTGACTCCTTTTCCATACCTATTTGCCAGAAGCCTCTGTTCAAATCACAAGTGGTGAAAATTGAGGATTTACCAATAGTTTCCAAAATGTCTTTAGGATCATTCATGGGTTCAGCATCTATCTTAGTCCTTTTATTCAACTCTCGATAGTCACAACATATCCTTACTTTGTTGTTCTTTTTTTTTACTATCACCATGGGTGATAAGTATGCTGATTTTGTTCTTTCTATTTGCCCAGACTCAAGTAGCAAATCTAGTTCTGCTTCAACAGCTTCCATATAAGCAACTGGTACTTGGTAATGCTTCCCCTTCATAGCACTATGATAAGTCAATTCTATTTTGTGTTGAATTGTTTCAGTAAAACCTATTTCTTTTGTAATCACATCCTTGTAATTTTTTACTGTTTTGTCTATAATGTTTTTCTCATTCACTGGGATATGATTAGTCTTAATTCCCTTTGTATTACAGCTTTCACTTATTATAGTACAGGCTATATGTTCCTCTTCTATCAGTTTCTCTGGCTCTACATATAATTTCTTTATTCTGTCTACGTGTATAGTAGTGTTATTTCCCTTTATGTTTTATTTTCATATTTTACATCAGATAGTTTCTTGATTACTTCTAAAGGTTTTTGAAATACTTCTATGTTTTTTCTGTCTGGCAGTTTGACAAAAACTAAATCTCCTCTTTCAAAAGTTCTTAAATATCTATGTTTGTTTTTTATATTTCTGTGCCTTTCACTTGCTAACTGTGCATTCTCTTGGGCTGTCTGGACACCATAAACTATTCTCTCACTAGTATGGTTTACTAGTTCATAAGGATCAAATTCTTCTTCATTTTTATTTAATAATTTGTGTTTCAATAAAGTTAATGGGCCTCTTGGCTTTACCCCATATATCAGTTCAAAAGGAGAAAAACCTGTTTACTCATGTTTAGTCTCTCTGTATGTGAATAGCACTTGAGGTAAATACTTGTGCCATTCACCTGGGTGATCCTCTGCTACCTTTTTTAACATAATCTTCATTGGTTTATTCCATCTCTCATTCATCCCATTCGCTTGTGAATGGTATATGGTACTATGTACTTGTGCAATGTTCAAGAAGCTTGTGAATGCCTTTGTTAATTTGGCTTTAAACTGTGTTTCATTGTCTGATTAAATCGTATCAGGAAAACCGAATCTTGTGCATACACCCATCAAAGCATCACATATAGCTACAGCTGTAATCTCTCTAAGTGGTATTGCCTCTGGCCACCTGGTTGCCCAATCCACTATAGTTAATATAAACTTGTGGCCCTGGGAAGTAGGGTGTTCCATAGGTCCAACTATGTCCATTGCTATCTTCTGGAATGGTCTTGTAACTCTATCTGTCTGTTGTAGAGGTGCATTATTTTTCCCATCAACAGGATTGAATCTTATGCATTTGGTGCATTTTCGTATGTGTTTCTTTATGTCTTCCTTCATTAAAGGCCAGTAGTAGTCTTCAGTTATTCTCTCAAATGTATTTTTTATTCTTCTATCAATTCTGTGTTGCTTTCCTCATTGTCCACACTTCTCTGATTCGCTGGTTTCTGTGCTCTTGTCTCAACCGCTGCTCCAATTTTACTTGCCCATCTGTCTATATCTTCCTCATTGCTTTCTTTCGCCTCTTTTCCATTCCCAATAATCATATCTGCTATTGGTTCTTCCATGACCGCCACTTTATATTTACCTTTAAGCCAAGCAGAATCTATATCAACTACTGCTATCTCACACTCATCCCTAAATTTCTTGTTGGCATATGTCTTATTCATTATGCCAGGAATGTACTGTTCTGGTCTTACAAGACTTTTCTTAACAATGTGCATGTGCAATCTGAATCTCTCAGGCACATTACTCTGGTGTTGTTTACTATAGCTGGGAACATCTTCAGTGGTGTATTGCTTTGTCTAACAGATGCCACTGTCTCTGACCCTTCTACCCCTGCTGATGTCTCTTGATTTTTATTTCTAATATTTTTATTTTCTCCCTTGTTGTCTGGTCCCATTCTTGGCTGTCTACTTTGATTGTTGAATTGATTTCTACTTTGTCTACTATACTGTCCTTGTCTGTGATAATTACTTTTATTTCTATAATTATTATTAGGTGCATAACCTCCTCTGTTATTATTGCTGAGATATGTATCTCTATTTTGTAAGCTAAAACACTCAGACTTTACATGGCCTGTTTTCCCACAGTGGTAACACTCTATGCTTATCCTATATTTATATGTGGTTTCCACCTGGTAGGTACACTATTATTTCTATCTCTATTGTTGTTGCCATACCTTCTTTGATCACTGCCAAAGTTTCTACTGTAGACTGCTGCTGATATGTCTTCATGCTCTCTTTTGTCCAAAATAGCCCCTGGATGTGCATCCTTATAAGTATTAAGTTGCTCTATTAATTGTTTCTCTGTCCTAACTTTTCTTTCACTCAAAAAAGTGAATAAACTACCTGTTGCATTATTTAAAACATGATCTATTAGGTTAAGTTCAATAATTGCCTCAGAATTCTTTAAATCTATTTCTGCCATTTCTATCATTTTATTCATGTGTTTGCGAATTTAAAAAATGATTTGGTTTATGTCACCAGTGCTGTCAATTCTAGCGTCTCGTATCGTTTTTCTGCAATAGTCTTCTGTCTTTCCAAAATGTTTCATCAGTCTTTCACTAGGTCATAGTCTTCTTTTTCAGTCTCAGACATACTTGCTATTATGGCAATAGTCTCTCCTGTCAAATTAGTCAATAAAGCCTGTGCTTTACCAGCAGATGAATAGTTAAAACTCTTACAAGTTTGCTCAAAGAGTAGTAAGTAAGTTTTCACACTCTCTTCCTTTGGTTTAAATGCTCTAAAGTTAGGCTTCCAATTGTCTGTTTTGTTAATATTTCTTTCTTGAGATTTATTACTTTTGATTTTGGCTAATTCTAGCTCCTGTTGTCTCTGTTTTTCTCTGTCTTCTAGTTGTCTCTCTTTTTCTCTGTCTTCAGCCTCTATTTTAGCATTTGCTAGTTCCTTATCAGCCTCTTTTTAGCTATTTCCTTATCAGCCTCTATTTTAGCTTTAGCTAGTTCCCTCTCTAAAGCTCTATCTTCCCTTTTAGCTGCATCAGATATCTTCTTTTCAGCATCTGATATTTTATTTTCAACCCATTTAGCCTTTTCTGCCCCAGTATATCCTAAAGAGTCAGCCAACTCAATCATTTTGGCATAGTCCTCCATATTAATGGTCCAAGAAAAATTACTCAATAGTGTGGTTCAATAGTAATAACAACAAAATGTTAACAATATTGAAAAATCTTTCAATAGCAATACCAAATACTTACTTACAAATTTATTTCTCCAAACAGATCATAGCTTTATTTATACTCTTCAATTTTAGATCAGATAGGTTGTTCCAATATAATATACAGTAAATAATGACCAATATTACTTAATTTAAAATATAATCAATGCATCAAATGTTTAAAATATGTGTAATAGTGTAAAAAACTTTGAAAACTTACAAATAAAAACACTTATTTCACGATACACTATACCGACAACATAGATAGTATATATATAGATCAATAAATAGAATAAATATTTAAAAGTCTCACAAAAGTAAACAATGACTGAACACGACAAAGACGAATAAAAAAAAATCTCAAGAAAGAAATATTAACAAAACAGACAATTGGAAGGTAGGTAGGTAGGTAGGTAGGTAGGTAGGTAGGTAGGTAGGTAGGTAAGTAGGTAGGTAGGAAGGTAGGTAGGAAGGTAGGTAGGTAGGTAGGTAAGTAGGTAGGTAGGTAGGTAGCTAGGTAGCTAGGTAGCTAGGTAGCTAGGTAGCTAGGTAGGTAGGTAGGTAGATAGGTAGGTAGGTAGGTAGGTAGGTACGTAGGTAGGTAGGTAGGTAGGTACGTAGGATAGGAACGGGTTAATATAGTATGCAGGCTTGGGAGTTCGGACTAGGGAGAATGTAAAAGATAATCCGTGTAATGCCAATATCAAGGATAGTTTTATGTTTATTTATACGAGAATATTATTTGCATAAATAGTGAACAAGAAAATAATTGGCCTAGTTTCAAGGGATTATCGCCTGTATCGTGGTGTATCGTGGTGATATGAATGCACATGGTAGTGGTATTCTTTAAATGGTAGTAGATCGCGTCAGATCAAACACGACCCTCTCACAGCAGCCCTAACAATCGTGTATAAAGGTGTCATATAGTCCGTAAAGAGATCTTTATGCTAAAATTTCTCTTTGCGCAATTTTCGATGTGTACACTTTTTTGTGTGTGCTTTTTTCTGTTTGCGGTTTTTACTTTTTTTGCGCTTTTTACCGTTGCGCTTTTTCCGTTGCGCTTTTTTCTGTTTGCTTTTTTTTCTGTTTGCGCTTTTTTTATGTGTACGGTATTTTCTGTTTGCGCTTTCTTCTGTTTGCGTTTTTTTCTGTTTGCGCTTTTTTTACGTTTGCGCTTCTTTCCGGTCACCGGGGATTCGATACATACGGGCCTATGCCATTGAGCTCTACATTTCCTTAGCTTATATTACGTTACCTTAGATTAGCTTAGCTTAGATTAGCTCGGCTAATAGTGTAATATTATATATTTAAAGAAAATCATTATTTTCATTGCTTTAGTGCATGATAAAAGCTTGTTATTAAAACGTTTTTTTGCATTTTATTTGTGTATGTGCGACTGAGCGCATAACATGCTGATACGCATGTACCACATGTTTCGTATCAAATGTACATCTATATACATTTTACAAACCGCACCCATCATGAAATTCTAAACGTGGTTCAGAAGACTTATCGAACATTTAGTGATAGAGGATAGGAAATCCAAGCACAATGCCATAGTGGTAAGATGAGAAGAGCCACATGGTGCCCATGTATTAGGCGCCCTCTCCCAACACAAAGGTGGAAAAAATATATCTAACTTAATCCTTATGGTATTCTTTCATTTCGAAACCTGGATTTAATATGGCAAACTCCACTCATTGCTCAACTATAATATTACTAATCTGCTGAAAACTCTTCAAAAGTTTAAAATATAATATACTATTTTTGTTTTGTTTAAAGAATAGCGTTGTGAACACTAGCCAATCGAAATCATCCACGTTAGAAAACGTACATGTATAAAATGTCTATTCAATGTACGGTCATCATTTAAACTACTCGTGTATTCTGTAAGACAGACATCATTGTAAGTTAGCTTTATATTAAATAATTTGTTACAGATAATATATTTGCATCAATAAAATATATTCATATTTACATATTTTCTAAGTATTAATTATAATTGAAAATAAATTGAACACATGATAAGTACAATATATTTCATCTAGCATTATAAAATGTATTCAATTTTTTGTTTTGAAAAAAGTTAAATTAATTTTTTTTTTAAATTTAATTTCTTTGCAAGATAGATTTGAAGTAAATAAGTTTTATTGATAACACATATTTATTTTCATTAACAAAATGTTTTTATGTTTACATATTTTTACTCTCTCGTATATGGAGTTTAGAGGAAGTATTGCATTAGGGCAAAAAACGAAACAGAGTATTCACCAATCTCGACGATTTAGACCAGGGGTTCCCAACCTTTTTTTACTCTAGAGCACATTCTAAAATATCGGTAGGGTGGCGGGCACCACCTATTTTAAATCGACAAACTCCTTCCATAACTTGTCATTTTCCCATAATTTTTTTTTCTTATTTTCTTATAGTCATAATTTATTAATAAATAATAAACAAAAATGTTTCAAAATAATAAATTTATTTGGCTTTTTTTTTTCAAATTGCATACGCACAGAGAAATGTATTTACAAAACGTAAAGAAAGTAAACAAAACACATAAATACAAAGAAAACATTTAATTAAAAAATATAATAAAGGCAATGTGATCTTTGGCATTGCATTTTATTGGCCAGAGCTTCATAATTAGGAGCGTATGACGATAATCCTGTTAGCAGACAATCATGAAGATGCTCATCGGTGAGTCGAGATCTATATCTTGATTTTATTAAGTTCATGTTTGAAAACAATGATTCGCATAAATTTGTCGAACCGAAAAATAATTCAAATAGCACTAGCCGTTCCAGGCTAGCGTTAATAGTGCAGTCTGGCTCGCCGCTAGACAAGTTGGGACAAGTATCGAACATATTTAATAAACCTAGGCAGTCAAAAAAATTAAAACTGGAACAAATAAATAAAAATAAATCATATTTTAAAATAATGTTTATGAAAAAAATTCTGTCTCTGTCGAATAGTGAGAGGCGGGCACATACGAGTCGTTCAGCTGGCGCCATGGCGCCCGCTGCACCATGGCGCCCGCGGGCACAGGGTTGGGAACCCCTGATTTAGGCCTCCCTGATTAGAAAAAATTTAATTTTGCAATCTTTTCTGTATGTCAGTTTGTGTGTGTGTGTATGTATGTGTCCGTTTGTCTGTGAACTCGATAACGTGACCACATTTACAACGAGGTTGACAACATTTCGTATATAAGTATTATATCAAATGTGTTGTTCTGTGTCCACTATTTAGCGATTTTCGGTAAATGGAAGTGGAACTTATTCTACTTTCGTTCCACATTAGTTTTTTTCCTAAGAATATTTAAGAAAGTTTAGGGGAGATCACTGCCGCATTATTTCTATGCAAAAAAGTAATAACAGTTTTGCAGTATGATATTTACAATGTATTTTAACTGGCTTTGTAAAATGTGTTATCGGTTTAGAATGGAATAGGTAAATTAATACAATAGTTGATACATAATAACTTCGATGGAACATTTGTATAAATGCAAAACTTTATATTTAAGGTTTTTATGTTAGATTTACTGAGCTGATTAAAATGAAGATCGCATTTTTTCTTCTTCTGGTCTGTATGGCAAATCTCTTTGTTAAAACAGAAAGGTGAGTCTACTTAAACTATCTTTACTAAATAGGAATGTAACTAAAACAATTTATTGAAATTAGAATTCATTGTTTATGCAGAGAGTCGTACTTAAATTAAATACGCCTTCCTATAAAATATAAACATTTATAAACATTTAGGATATATATATATATATATATATATATATATATATATATATATATATATATATGTATATATATATATATATATATATATGCATGTACATATACATATACATATACATATACATGTGCATGTACATATACATATACATATACACGTACACGTACACGTACACGTACACGTACACGTACACGTACACGTACACGTACACGTACACGTACACGTACACGTACACGTACACGTACACGTACACGTACACGTACACGTACACGTACACATACACATACACATACACATACACATACACATACACATACACATACACATACACATACACGTACACGTACACGTACACGTACACGTACACATACACGTACACATACACATACACGGACATAGACATGGACATGGACATGGACATAGACATGGACATGGACATGGACATGGACATGGACATGGACATGGACATGGACATGGACATGGACATGGACATGGACATGGACATGGACATGGACATGGACATGGACATGGACATGGACATGGACATGGACATGGACATGGAATTGGACATGGACATGGACATGGACATAGACATAGACATCGACATCGACATCGACATCGACATCGACATCGACATCGACATCGACATCGACATCGACATCGACATCGACATCGACAGCGACATCGACATCGACATCGACATCGACATCGACATCGACATCGACATCGACATCGACATCGACATAGACATAGACATAGACATAGACATAGACATAGACATAGACATAGACATAGACATAGACATAGACATAGACATAGACATAGACATAGACATAGACATAGACATAGACATAGACATAGACATAGACATAGACATAGACATAGACATAGACATAGACATAGACATAGACATAGACATAGACATAGACATAGACATAGACATAGACATAGACATAGACATAGACATAGACATAGACATAGACATAGACATAGACATAGACATAGACATAGACATAGACATAGACATAGACATAGACATAGACATAGACATAGACATAGACATAGACATAGACATAGACATAGACATAGACATAGACATAGACATAGACATAGACATAGACATAGACATAGACATAGACATAGACATAGACATAGACATAGACATAGACATAGACATAGACATAGACATAGACATAGACATAGACATAGACATAGACATAGACATAGACATAGACATAGACATAGACATAGACATAGACATAGACATAGACATAGACATAGACATAGACATAGACATAGACATAGACATAGACATAGACATAGACATAGACATAGACATAGACATAGACATAGACATAGACATAGACATAGACATAGACATAGACATAGACATAGACATAGACATAGACATAGACATAGACATAGACATAGACATAGACATAGACATAGACATAGACATAGACATAGACATAGACATAGACATAGACATAGACATAGACATAGACATAGACATAGACATAGACATAGACATAGACATAGACATAGACATAGACATAGTAGTTATATATTATACCTACCTTTTCTTTTTATCAAACAGTTGTTGCAAGACAGCTGGACGCTGTTCGAAGAATATTGAATGTTGCATAGCATATTATTGCACCGATTATAAGTACGGAATATTGTTTTCAGTCATTAAAATTATGAGTTACATTTTCAATATAACCTTCTTAAGAAATTAGATGGTCCCTAAGGTTTATTTTTATTCATGTTAAATTAGAAATTGACACAAAAATATATTTTTAAGCCTGTAGTAGTTTAAATAACAAAGTCGTTGTTGTTGGACTAGAACGTTTGACACCACAGTTGTTTTTCAGAACAAGTTATTCCAAAAGTTCAAGAGAAACATATAATACCACCTTGGTTTTTGATCTTTCACATGTATATGAATTTTGTCTACCTAGCAGATTAAAGGGCCACTTTCACGAAGTGAGAATCGTTTAAAAGTTGAAATAATTCTTTGTTTACAATCTAGTACTAATTTATGAAATGTCTTCCGTCAGGCTGAATCGGAATACAAGATATTGACTTTTAAGAAACCGAAAGTAGTTTCCATTTTCTTTAAATGGGATTCGTTTGAAAATTAAATAAAAATATATTTTATATATTATTATTAAATATGAGACTGTGTCAATATGAATAAAACGTAACCCTGGTTATCGTTACTCTAAGACATTCGCACGCAAAACTCGTTTTTTTTTACCCAGAAATGTATAGGATGTAAAGAAATCGTAAACTATTTCTTGCTTGTTTGAAACAGATTTTCTATACTCGGTAATCAACTAGCGTTTTTTTTTACTCAATATCAATATTGAGCTACAGAACCCAAGAATATTTTAAAAAAACTATAGCTAGAGGTGTTAAATGTATAACAGCGACACTGGAAAAATTGTTTTTACCTAAATATTATTCCAATAATCAAAACCTCCATCACTTATTGTTGATATTATTGTTCTTTTCTTTTTTTTTTAGATTAAAAAGCAAAAGATGTATTCCAAATGGAAAATAAAAAGTGAAGTATGTTATAGGGCGCTGAAAAATAATACGTAGATTTCGGGTTGTTTTTATAAATTTATAAACAAATTTTTAAACATACATATAGTCATATTTTCGCTTGTATGTTTCTTCTAAACACAAACTTATAAAACATACAACTCTGAAATCTAAATGGCATAACAGCTCGTCATAGATACCCAGAAAATCCAAGGCCAATCCGAATAACCACCTTCACTTAAAATCAAAATCACACCACACCGGCTACAACCCCGGGCTCAGAGCAACCCGTTCATACTAACCGTCTATTCCCAGGGCCTAAATTATAATCCGCCTTTATTCGCCCATCCCATCAGTATGTTAATAGATTGTTTAATTTTTTTAAACTATTCGCTGCATGCCAGTCTGATAATACTAACATACACCTCATTTTCGTGGATCCTTGCCGACACTTTCAATATTAACATTGTTTGCGTCGATTCTACATAAATGTGCAACCGCAACGCTATACTAATCAACAATTTTCATTACTCTCGCATCAAATTTACAAAATTTACGTATGTTTAGAAATGTATTGTTTGTATATATATATATATATATATATATATATATATATATATATATATATATATATATATATATATATATATATATATATATATATATATATATATATATATATATATATATATATATATATATATATAAAACTCTGTTTTACGTTTCTCCCTTGCAGAACACAAAATGAATAAAATAAACTTATAGAAAAAATAAACATTTGGCATTGACAATGTTTTTAAAGTTATTTTTTTGCTTTGGTTATTTACTACATGAACACGGATCATACCAGATCATTCAGCTGTGTAAAGATATTATAAGTTAAGGAAAGAAAAGGCAAATTTAAAAACGGGTTCGTACGGCTGGACGAAAGCGAGCTTACGCAAACTGTCCTGGCTGAAGGACGGGTGCGCATCAAAAGGCAAAATTTTGCAGGGGCAGCGAGCGCCCTGCAGCTAAAGCACGATATGCCGACAAACCGGGCAAAACTGAGTACAGTGCCCGAAAGGCCACCGATGGATTTACCTGACTGCCTGGCGGGCTGAAGGAGGAAGGAAACGTAGGTGCTTTGCTAAACGCTGCGGAAGCAGCCACCGAGCGGTACCCTTCTATGTGGATACGAGCGTACACTGATGGACCAACTATGAGGCTGAAATTACTGCCATCGTGGCCGTAGCTAACGGTGCGTTAATTTTAACAGACTCCATGTCTGCACTGCAGGCAATGGCGTCCTATTGATGCTATACGGTGCCGATCGCATTTCGAGAATCCTAGGTAGAACAATCTGCTTTCAATGGGTGTCCGGCAACGTCGGCTTAGCAGGGAACGAAAAAAGCTGACTCTCTTGCGAACATACGGTGAATGTTTTGTGAGACTAAAGGAAAGTTTCAAACAGGAATGGGAAAGGAGTGGACAGAGGGGTCCAAAGCCCAGACCGTTTCAAGCACATGAAGAGGTCCTCTAAGTCTGACCCATAGTTGAATTAGCAAAACTGGCAACAGTCCATTATTACCCAGCTTATAACAAGACACTGCCCGTCTAAGTCATATCTGTATGGCCTACACATTACCCGCGATCACCAATGTCGCCACTGTGGCAACGCCGCAGAAACGTTTGAACATGTCATCTTAGCAGAGTGCCTTGCCCTCAGCGCCGGGAGAACATTGATGGGATCTGTGAAGTTGATAAGCTTTTATACAAGAACCTGGGATTGATGAAGGACGTTTGCAATTGTGTACGAGAATCTGGTGTCCTCTCGTACTGCCGCGCGGCGGACACGGACATTGTGGCCTGACTCAGAAAACGGCCTAAGACGAACCGAGTCCCCACTAGATCCAACTCGCAGCCCTTGCTGACGACCTAGTTGGTGCGCGGGTGGGAGACAGGAATCAAAGCCAACAAAACGGCGACCCGGCCATAGGGGAGTCACCGGGCGAAAACCCAAGTTGGGCCGATAGCCGCGTAAGTGGCAGCTCGTGATGAATGCCGCCCCCCCCCCCCATGTGTGAGATGTGCGCTAGCCTGGTTGCCCGAATGTGCCTATTCGGCGGGGTACGGAAGGGTCTCCATAGCTACAAGTTACCCACGGAAGCACGTAAAAAACTCTGTCCGCGAACGCCGACGTCTTCTTTTGGCTAGATGCCCCCGCGTTGCACCCCCCTGTTTCTTTTAAGTGTTCCTGGCTTGCGACTGGGAAACCAGGACCCCCTATGAAAGTGTATCGCCCGAAAACCGTAGCAGGAGGCGAGACAAGGTACAGCTCCCAGGACGGGTAGTACGATGTACTGGAGCGGAAGACAAGCCCGAGTCCAACCAGCAGGAGAGCGGGTACGCCAATGAGTGACGGCGATGCACTGCGCGATGCCATAGAACAACGTCATCTCCTGCCAAGGCGTCTGGGGGAAGATGCATTGGGAGCTCGACTGTGGGTTTGTGCAGGGGAACCCACCCGCCATAGCAATCCGAAGTCTCCTAACCCTGTTTTTAAAATGTCCGAAGGCCACCCACGATCAATCTGGGTTCCATGACGGTGGGACGAAGTCCTGCGTCAGGTGGTGGGGAAGGCAAGCCTGGTGAGAGCCCACGGAAGCAAAGCGACCGACATGCAGTGTTCGAACCGACATCTTCATACGGCTGCCAACAGCCCACGTAAAGCCAATTAGTCGGAGTACACTGCGTCGAGACCGGCCTGGCTTATAGGAGCGTAACTCCTGAGCCGGTGATCCCCGTTGTTCGAGTAGTTTGCAGTCTCTAAAAGACTCAGAGGCGTAGCGAATGGGGAGGGGTACATATATCCAAGGGTGACGACCCTAGGGGGCGCCAAAGAGGGTTGAAAAAATTAAAAGCTTATTTTAACTGCAGTTTTGTATTTTAATATAATAAATATATGGGGGAGGGGGTCAGGAAGTGTCGCTACGTCTCTGGGTCGACTCTCAGGCAAATAACCGACTAGATCTAGCAAGCTATTGTATTTAATTTTGTTACCTCCCCTTATTTATAAAAAAAAAATATATTATTCATATAATATTCTTGTAATGTTATTGGAGAAGAACTTATCTGGACAGTCTTAGCAGAAACTCTGCATTTAAAAATGTGTCGAAATCCAGTTTTGTTGTTACCACAAACCTACAAACAAATAAACATATATTCTAAAATAATAAAAGTTTTCTGTTAGTCCTCTCATTTTAGTATTCATTTTTACAAGCTTTTATTACACTCACTTCCTCTGTCTGTCTGTCTGTCTGTCTGTCTGTCTGTCTGTCTTGATCGAAACGCCGGAGCGAAAATTCGGACACTTCTAACTGACAGATACGGTTCGTAATTGGTACGTGGGTCAAGACATGAAGACAATGCATTATGAGATTAAATTTGACTTGATTGGATGCCTAATGAATTTTTTATGAATCAATTAATATTTGGACCGAATTAGCGGGCAGTTCAATCCACACGCGTCATCAGGGCCGTGTTGGGCGTGGAGCGACGGGGGCTCTATGTCAAAAGCGCGTCATCACGTTCAATAGTTGCTCGATGGATTTTAGTCGGGTCAGCAGTCTATTTCTTTACCACTAAATAATATTTTACTGAAACTTTAGCTATAAACTTGACAATGGTTTTTGTCATGTAACTTGTAAATTAATTGACATACCTACCTCACAAACCCATCCACATCACCAACCCAACTACCTCCCTAACACACCTGATTAATTGACACACCTACCTCACCAACCCATTCACATCACCAACCCACCTACCTCCCTAACACACCTGATTAATTGACACACCTACCTCACCAACCCATCCACATCACCAACCCACCTACCTCCCTAACACACCTAATTAATTTACACACCTACCTCACAAACCCATCCACATCACCAACCCACCTACCTTACCAGCCCACCTAGATCACCAACCCACCTACTTTACCAACCCATATTCCTTACCAACCATCTACCTCACCAACCCACCTGTGATGGGGGGTTTATATATAATCTTCTCCATATATTCTGATCTGGTCTACTACTATTCATACGGCAACTATAATACTTGTTAGGACGACAGGAATCACTCTTATGTTCCGCAGATACTAATTAAAAATGTCGACAACTTCGTTTATGAAATAACATGAACTTTATTAACACACACTTATAGATCAGTTGCACAATATTAAAGAATACGTCAGTCTTCTACTATATCTAACCCCAACTAACTTCACTGCTGCGTCTTACGTCATCAGTACATGGTCTCGTCATTCTCAAGTCACACTCGCGCCACAAATATTTTATTGCACATGCGCACAATTCTCTCGCACCAAATCGTCTACCGTTAAGTTCGTACCGTCCTTAGTAACATCTACTAGTCTAGTCCAATATCTACGCTATGACACCACCTACCTCACAAGCCCACTTACCTTAACAACCCACCTACCTTACAAACACACCTACCAACACATCTAGCTCATAAACACACCTACCTTACTAACCCACCTATGTCGTCTCTACTAACAAGCCATCTTCTTCACCAACCCCCAACCCACTAACCATATCCCAAAGCTGCAACAAGCAACCACTTCGCTGTTATGCGTCCGTTCCTTATTTAAAAGAAAGGGAAGCAACTTTGGAAAAATGTTTTTAAAAACACAACCTGATAATCTCTCTTTAATTTAAAAGGTATCTTTGCACCGATTAGATGGTGGTTGAGTCATTTTATTGAAGAATAATTTTTGATCTAAGAAATATGGGGAGGGGGCAGTGGCGGAACTAGAAAAAAAAGGGCCATCCCGCAAAAAAAAATATTTTCGGTACCCCGAGTCTGGTATATTTTGTTTGAGATAATTTGTTCTGAAATCATTTGCCCTGTCACCATATATATATATATATATATATATATATATATATATATATATATATATATATATATATATATATATATATATATATATATATATATATATATATATATATATAGACCTAGACCTAGACCTAGACCTAGACCTAGACCTAGACCTAGACCTAGACCTAGACCTAGACCTAGACCTAGACCTAGACCTAGACTTAGACCTAGACCTAGAGACCTAGACGTAGTGCGGAATATTAGTGTTTTATAAATTCCTATGCTTTTTATGAGAAATCGGACTTCCTGTCAATACAAATTGCACATCATCCTAATAGATAAAAGCCCGTGCGCACTTCTCTCTCTGTCGCTCTCTCTCTCTCTCTCTCTCTCTCTCTCTCTCTCTCTCTCGCTCTTTTCTCTCGCTCTCTCTCTCTCTCTCTCTCTCTGTCTGGAAAATATTTTCGCAGGGTATCATATCAGAATTTTTAGCGATATATGTAGAACTTGATACGGACTTTTGTTTAAAGTAATATGGTAGATGTTTTAAATGTATAACTAACATTTTATTTAAAGAAGAAGAATAAAAAATAAAGGCATATTCGAATGTAGAAAAACAGTTTTAATTATGCAACAAGAAAGGTGTTTATAGTTGTGAAAAAGAACCCCATGAAACAATGACGTCATTTATGTTTATACATCAACTAATGAAGTCATCTGCCGAGTTTAGAATAAAAAGAAATGAACTATTTCATTCAAATTTTATTTAGATCTAGAGATATGTACGCTATGAAATGTGAACCATACAATTTTTCCGGCCAACTCATATGAAATTTATTTTATCTATTTGGATTCTAGATCCAGAGAATCTAGATCAAGACTAGATCTAGATCTAAATATACACAAAAACTAGACCTAGACGCTAAGTCGCTAAGATGTAGATTTAGACTCTAT